GTTCGGACTAGGAGTTAGCCCGGGCACGGGAAACGAGGTACATTTCGTACTCCGAGTGACGGAATATGTCTCAATTCCTCAGTCACCGACACTCCGGATTATCCATGATGGAGTTAGGTTTTAGCTGTAGTTTCATGTGCATTCATCCTATATTGAGTTGTGCATTTCGACTCCTCGGCCATCATGCCTCGGTATGCGTGATTGGTGGCACGAGGATCGAGACATGCATATATCTGTGCAAATACATTGCTATGCCCCTTTTCTGCTCTCTATTACAGCAAAACGAGAAATCAGCAACTTTCTGGAACGTAGCACGCATTTCAAGAACAGGTGTAAACAGAGGCTAATTGGGGCATTCCGGTGGATTTCCGCGCAAGACAATCCAGACATGCATCATCCATCAGAAGCAAGGCAGTCCCTGGCTTGCACGCCAGTTTTATTTGCTTTCTTAGTTAATTTGTTAATTAATTAGAAATCTGTAATATTTTGGACTGTAATATTCTTTTATTCGGGACTGTAATATTTGGATTGTATATTTATTCGGACCCTCTCTGCGAGGGCACAACTGTAATAAGTGTGGGTGAGTGTGATGTATGTCTTCCAACCCCACGTCTTTCTTCCCTTTTATTTATCCGCTTATAATGGTTAGATTAGGGCATATTTCAATTAGCATACAATATGACAGAATGTTTGCATCATTCATCTGTATTGCATGCACCGGGCTCGGCGTATCATACTAACTGCATTTGTATTTCAATTCCAAATTGGATACATGATAGTGTTGTAGCATTCCATATGCCATGTTTAGAACAGCCGAGCCTGTTATAGTTGCATTTTTGCATGTGTTGCATTAGGCATTTCTGTATAATTAGGATCATGCATGGATTTCAAATTAGCTTTTGTTTTGGCTTGGAGTACTCGGTAAGTTTTTATGCTTTAGCATCCTGCATGCGTGTGAGTGACTGCCATGAATAGCATGCTTACCATGAGGCTATATGCTTATGTGATATATCTGCCTGAATGCCTGTGGGTGAAGGTTGGGTTACTTGAATTGGGACAATTCATCAAATGTTTGTTTTAAGCCCACTAGATAGTGGCAAAACCATCTTTTCCAAAAGCCCACCTGAGGGTGGCAAATCCGTGTCTTAGCCTACCTGCGGGTAGCACCATCAAACCATTTTCAAATAAACAAGCATGAAATGTTTTGTTCCAATTCAGGTGACTCAGTCTATACTTGTATGCTGTGCGCATCACATAGTAACCTAGGCTAATAAACCGGATAAGGACACAGCCTGTGGGTGAAAATAGATATCATGGTTAGTAGAGGCCGATCTTTGATCGGGCGAGCGGGGGTGCTCACGAAGTGACCTTCCCCAATCATGAAGCCAACCGAGGCGAGAGATGGCAACCAAAATGGAGGGGGACCTACGTTGTGAAAACCCGATCCACGGACCAGACACTTAGCCGACTGTCAAGACAATTAGAAGGCCGAGACTTGGCCCCATCCCTAGAAGCGGAACATTTCTGAAGCGTTACTATCAATAATTCGTGACTTTTGTATTGACAATATCGTTGTATTCCCTTTTTATACATAGATGCAAAATCCGCCTCGGTGATTTCGGTTTCATAAGTTCACTGTCTCTATGTCTGTCCCTATAACTTTCACTTGCAGCATTCAAAGCCTGACCAGACGCTCAAGCGGCCAGACGAAGCTTAAAAGCCTCATGCCCAGACGGAGCACTTCAAATCCTAGCCAGACG